TACATACATACATACATACATACATACATACATACATACATACATACATACATACATACATACATACATACATACATACATACATACATACATACATACATACATACATACATACATACATACATACATACATACATACATACATACATACATATCTAAATTCTGATATGTTCATATTGATAATGAATGAAGATGTTTAAAATTAAATTGTTGCAATTGAAGAAAACAAAACCCTCTAAATGTTGGTCCCTCACTGTATCCAAAAATGAGGGCAATGCGTTGGTTTTTACTATCTAAACTATATTTATAGTTGTCAACAAATTTCAATTCTCATAATAATCTTTTGGTGATTAGTTTTTATGACTCTGTTAAGTTTAAAGCCCCTTCAAATCGCTTAAAAGTCCACTTAATTTGCTTAGGACTTAAACTTACGAAACATTTTAGATCACTGATGGAACTTAAAGTCGATGGATATAAGTTCAGTTTATTGTTGTAAAATTATTTTCATCACATTTGGATTATAAAAGAATAGGGGAACATTTTAGAGTTACTTGCAGTCTTCAATTAATGCATTTTCGTAAACGTCCTCATTTGTCATAGATACGAACATGCTTACATTTGGAGTTTCCTTCATATTTAAAAGTTGCACATTTTAAACATCTAAAACACTTAACTACATCTATGCTTCAAAAAGAATTTTTTAACTAAAACTTATTATATCTTAATTACAGAGTCGACAGAGCTTCGACGAGGAAGTTCAAGTTCATCTTTGAAACCTGGAAGTCCTTGTTTGTCAAGCGCAGGTTAGTCACATAAAGAATACTTTTTTACGGGCAAGAGCAGGTTAGTCACATAAAAAAAACTTATTTATTCAATAACTAACAACACCTCCCACCACCACCACCACACACATCCATAGAAAAAAATGATGAGCTTATTTAAAACCAAAATAAAATTTATTTAAAATTGATTTGAAAGCACTATGGTTGTATTCTTTTTTAGATTATACTCTTATATTCTATATATTCTTATATTTAAATTGTTATTTTTAACTTTGAAAAGTGTTTTATTTATTTTTTAACAACATTAAATAACAAACTGCTTTTATTTTTCTTAAAGATGAATATGATTTTATTATTCCTCGGTCACACAGTCTACAACGTCAATTAAATCTTGCAAACACTCCCGTCGACTTGGGAAAGCTAGACATTAACCAATATATTGCATCTGAGGAGGTCGACCAAGAATATGCTTTTCAAACAAAGATAGGCCATATTACATTCAGCATAAACTATAATAAAGATGAAGGAAAACTAAAAATTACTTTAAAATCGACAGAAATTTTTTTGAAGCCTAGCGCAAGTGTTATTGGGTGCGATTGGAGTTGCGAGCCAGTGACTTTTATGGATTTTTTTCCTAATATTAAAAGACCTTTAGAAATTAGTTACGGTGTTGAAAACAGTCTTAGTTTAAAAAAAGAAGAATTAAGTGATAAAACGTTACGGTTTAGCATATATGATGTTAAAAGGAAGCATAACCGCTTAGCTATTGGTCACGTACTTTTTCCACTTCGCGAAATTTCTGATGTTGAAAAAGTTAATATTTTTTCTAAAAAGATTAACTTTTATTCTCAGGTATGAAACGACATTATTTTTCTAATTACTTTTTTTCTCTCAAAATTAAAAATAATCTTAAATCTCAGCTAAACCAAGAAACTTGATAATTTTTTTTTTTAAGATTTCTTGAAATAATCTATTCTATTGTAGCCCGCAGGATTTAACAAGGGGAGCATTGAAATATCTTTAGCATGGATATCTTTAGCACAAAGACTTGATATAAAGATTGGGCAAGCTAGCAAGTTAAAGTCTCCGTATGGCGCTGAAGGAAATGGTAATCTATTTTTTTAAAAACTAAAACGTTAGAATATTCAATACAATTTTATCTTGTCTAATTATGTTAAATTAAGCGCGGGATTGTTGTATTTTATATATATATACAAAGAGAGTAAAAAAGAGAGAGAGAGAGAGAGATTTTGCCTGTTTTTATCGCATTAGAAATAAAAATTGACTGAATAAACTAAACTATTATTTTTTAAAGATCACTACGCTAAACTTGATGTGTTTATATTTGGAAAGAAAGAAAAATCGTTCAAAACCTCGACGCAAAAAGCAAAGCCTGATATAAACTTTCGAGAAAAATTTTCTGTACCATTAAGTTCGTCTCAACTTAAAGATTCAACAATTGCATGCAGTATTTACATGAAGCATACAATGAAAAAGATGATTTTAAATAAGATTTTAACAGGAAAAACTATAATTGGACCATACATGTTGCGCGGCGAAAAAACATTTACTCAGTGGGAAAACGTAATAGCAAACCCATCACAAGAATTTACTGAAGTTCATACTCTGTATTTGTAGATAAGGAGGTTTTTGGATTAAAGTGTGAGCAAATTGGACGTTATTCATTAAGTTAATGAATGAATGATAAACTTAAAGTTGCAATAATGATAGCGAAACTTTGGGTTCTTAAACTAAAGATGAATAAAAACAAAAAACAACAACATACAAACAAATTACTTGAGTGAAAGTTATAAAAAATTGTACGTTTTTAAATAATTACAATTTTTTATTTTCCGAAAAAGAGTTAACATGCTTTACTTTTATATCAATTATTTAAAAACATGGTCTATGCTGTTACACAATCATTTCAATCTCCTCAGCCCCACAAAATTGTACTTATTCAAGATTCAAAAAATTCGAAATGGTTCATTTGTAGAAGACAAACTATGAAAAGACAAGTTTTAAATTTTTAAACCCTGTTATTTATTTTAAAATTATTATAGAATTAATATTAGAAATAAGTTGTTTGTACAATTAATGACAACCCCCTAATTGTCGCACACACGCCGCAAGGAGTGTTTTTCTAATCATAACGTTTTAATTTTTGAGTAGCCGTTAATGATTTTGTCTGCAAGTATACGTTATTTGAAAAAAATGTCCCCGTAAACAACATTCATGAAAAATGAAAAATACATTGATTGACAAAAAGGTAGTAGAACATGCAAAGAGTAGTCATATATATTGACAGACAGGGTGTTTATGTATATATATATATATATATATATATATATATATATACATATATATATATATATATATATATATATATATATATATATATATATATATATATATATATATATATATATATATTTATATATATATATATACATATACATATATATATATATATATATATATATATATATATATATATATATATATATATATATATATATATATATATATATATATATATGTACAACAACTCTATATGGAGCCTAATGTTTTGTACCTATATACTCAAAATTTCTAAAAAATATTTCTACTCATTCATGCATTTTTAATGTATGCAGTGTTTAAATAAGTTAATTGGTTTATTGATTTTTTTTATTAAATTCAGAAAACTCAAATTTTCAACTTCAGCAACGTTCACATCAAATGAGTAATACATTACCAAAAATCCATAGAATTAAAGTGGGTATTTAAATAGTTGCATTAAAACAATTAGTATGGCTTCTTTACTTATCAAACAAGAAAAAAACTTCTGGTTTTTCAAATCAGATTAAAGTTTTCTGTTATTCTGAAACGTGAAAAGTGGACATGTTTTCTTAAAATTCTTTTAGAGGAATGAAACCAGGAATAATAAACTAAAAAAAAAGAAAGAAAAAAGATTCTTAAAGCGAACTTGCCTCAGAAACGTAAGATTTGTGGTTCAAACCCCACCTCTGGGCAAGTTTTGCGACATCGGTTGGGAAGGAGGCATGAACTTCCTATTAAATGCTCTTCCGCGGTGCTCTGTGTTAAGACTGTAAGGACTTCTTGGGGCACCTAAATCAACTTAAAAAAAAAAAAAAAAAATGATTTAACAGTCATGATAAAGTTAATACTTAACTTTAATAATAAAGATTGGCTTAGGTGAAACTTTTTATATCTTGAATTAAAAAAGATTAGAATGAGCTACAAAATTGCCTTTTTTTATTGAACACTTATTAAGTCTATAACAAAAATAATTACGATAAAATTTTCTAATTTTCCTCTTGATGGAAGTCATAAGATTTTGTACTAGATGGTACCCATACACTGTGGTGGTATTATCCCCCTTTTTTTTAAAGTCAGTACTTGGTTTTGCTTGCCTAAACATCTGACATTGATAACTTTTTCCTTAATAAAAAGTTAAAGTAGAAATTTGAATCTGACATTCAACAAAAATGAAACATTTTACATAAACTCCAAAAAAAATATTTTATTAAAAACTCGATTTTGTTTGATCTCTATAGTTACTTACTTAGACAAGTAAAAGATATTTCTTATTTTTTTAACTTATCTCCAAGGGAAAATTAATAAATACTTGTTGAACAAGATGGAATCAAAAACCTTGATGTGGTTTTGATATTTTTAAACATGTTATTTATGCCATGAGATTATATAAATCGAAGGAATACAACAGTGAAACTGCTTCCAAATCCTCTTCTTTTTTTAAATTATTGATGGGGTTCTCTTTTATTGTAAGTTGAATTATAACAAAACAGTTGATAAATTTTTTTAAATGCAATTACTGTACCACTTCAAACTGAATCTTTTCACATATCCCAACAGTGTTTTGAAATAACTAATCAAAAAAGTAGAAAAGGAAATGGAAGGCTAACATTTGGCGAAATGACAGTATACAGATGAAGAGCTAAGTCCTATGGCTTACCTTCTCATTGCACTTTGTTAAGTAAATTACGCTTTTACATACCCAGTTTATGAACAAAACAGCCAAGGTTTTTATACATTTTTATACATTTACATACCCATATATAAACAATTACATACCCAGTTTATGAACAAAACAGCCAAGGTAACATTTGTAAAAAATTCTGTTAAAAATTATGATACAACAATATATTAATGATACAACAAAAGCAATACAAAACAAATTTGGTTATTATTCAATGATATAAACAGTGATGCCCCTTCTAAAAGCCGCCCGGGGCATGTCCACCCCACTCTTGCTACACCTTTTTCTGTCCCTTCACTTTTAAAATTGACTATACTCAACTCTAGGATGGAGTGTGTGGGGGTGGCGGGTGGTGGGAGTGGTGTCGATATAAAAATTTCGCATCACCCATTTAAATTTCTAGATCCGCACCCGAAAAGTCGGAGCAATTTTGGGACTCTGCATTTCTGGTTTTACTTAACTGGAATACCCGCTTAAAAAGTAATAAACCGTTACGATTGGTATAAAAAGCTTATAAAATGATTTTTTTTTCTATATGATATATATTGATGACTTGGCGCCAAACCAGCCTATACAATGAGTATGAAGAAATGAGATAATTGAACGCAAAGTTTTAAACTTTTGAACAAAAGTAGCTCCACCAAACAAAATAAAAGTAATTGCTGCACAGTACACTTGAAAATTTTAAGTTTAGTATGTTGATTCTTGCAAAGAAAGTAAGCAAACTCCAAATTCTTTTTTCTCCAATAATACCTAAATCTGGATTACAGTTGGTTAATCAATCGATCCATCTACGAATAGTTGTTGTTTGGTAAGAAGCACACCAAAGCATCTTATTTCAAGGCAAGTTTCCTAAAATGAACAACCGCTAATTTTTATACCACCCATAGCTGTTATTATTTATAACATGTCACAATCATTCAAGGTTCAAGCAATTATAAATTTTTGATAAATAAAAAATTTATATATAACTGATTTTCTTGAACCATTATATACAGATAATTAATTGAGCAAAAAATACAAAAAATGCTGCTTCGCCTTATAAAATCAAGTTTGGTGTAAAATAAAAATTAGTCTAACCACGGAAAAAGATAAACCATCATGAGTCTGGCCACGGAAAAAGTTATAATATCATTGAATTAGAGTAATTACCTAAAATTACCTCCCAATAGTATCAAAAAAAAATAATTCGATCTGTTTATACCTTTATGTTTTCATTATACCTTCATATTTATATTTTCAACATAATTAATAATCATAATCAAAATTAACATAACTATTTTATCATATTTATTATTGACAAGTTCGAAATAAATGTCGTCGTGTGTCATAAAAAAATAAGGTTACAATACTAAAATCTATTCAAAAATTTTTATTTGCGTCTTTTATTCGCAGCAAACCCACGAGCTAACAAGTCTCCATTCTCCCTGTAGTTTCAGATGTACGCCTTTATTTGATACTGAAAAAACAAATGTTTTACTGCTATAAAAATATTATTATACTTAATAGATTGAAGCAACATACATTATCATTTAATAATAGATTATACCTATCATACCTTATAGATTGAACTAACACATTCACTGTAATATAAGTTATAGATTGAACTAACACATTCACTGTACTATAAGTTATAGATTGAACTATCACATTCACTGTACTATAAGTATAAGCGGTGAATTGAAATAAAAAAAAACAAAAACAAAAAAATCTTGTTATGTCATTAAACTTTAAAAAGTTTAGTTTGTCGACGAATATCCATAAAATTTGTCGACGAATATCCATAAAATTTGTCGACGAATATCCATAAAATAAAGCTTGTGATAAATGTTACTATATATACGTAATATGTATATATAGCAACATATTTACACACATTTATAAAAAATAGTAAAATTATTTCTATCACATTTACTTTTATTGAATTATTTTAATATTACATAATATAAGTAATATATTATTTATTTAAATTATCATTATTATCTTGGCGAGAAACTGGCTAGGGACTAGTACTCGACTGCAATTGCCTCAATTTAGCATTTCATTTATTGATATTATAGTATGATATTTTCGTTTCTTTCAAGAAAGAAAAGACTATTTTTATTCTTAGTTCTTTATTATGAAATAAATTTATTAAACTTTAAACATTGCAACATTAATACAACATGTTGATAGCTACACATTGTGGGTTTGTTGCAAACAATGCATAATGTCGATAGCTAATTAACATAGCTACACAAATATGTCCTAACGACATCATACCTAGATACCTACAAACTGCTTTATTGCTACGAGCTGTTACTAACTACTTGACAAGAAAATTTGATGTGGGCCTCATGTTTCTTTAAATGATAACCACACTCGATTTGTGGGATAGCGTAATTGGGTTCATGCGTGGCTATAATATTTATATTACTCATGTAGTAGCCACTCCAGATTAAGTTTTTTCTAAATATTCATTAGGCATTTATTTATATTTTTTACATTTCTTTTTAGTTCATCCTAAAGTTCGACAGGAGAGAGATCTGATGATTGGGGAGGCCAAAACATTCTATAGGAGAGAGGTCTGATGACTGGGGAGGCCAAACCATTCAATATTTGATCATTCTCTAACTCACTCAAGTAGGAATTATTAATAAAAGCATAACCAAATCTCTTGAGATAAAATATACAGAAAAAGTGTAATGTTTTTGTTGTCTACATTATATAATTTTCACATAAACATCAGACTTAATGATTGCATGATTTATGAACGATTAACATAAACATTGGATTTGACAATTGCGTCATTAATGATTTATTAACAAAGCAGTACACTTATGTAAATAAATCCTAAACCCTACTTCAACCAATTTAAACATGTTAACTTTATAACATTATAATCGAAGTATTTTAATTAAAGTACCTTTATATTTCCCTAAAATATCTAATAACGCAAAAATAAAAAATAAAAAAATAATTAAATTGAAGCATTTTTTTTTTTTAATGTTTATGTTATTCAAACAATTATGGACTTTAGTGTATATAATTTGGTTATTAAAGTGTTTCAAGATGACCTAACCATTTTTTCATAGAGCAATGCAGTAGAGTATTTAATTAGGAATTTGACGCCTTTTTTCTTACCTTTGCACAATAGTGCAAAAACCTCAAAAAAGCGTCCATAATTTAAAAACTTTTCGGAACTCTATAAAATGATTTTTTTTATGAATTATATTGCTTATATTTTCAAAAATACAAAAGTTTGTTATTTACGTTCATTAAAAGGGTCGCTAAATGAATTTAAAAGATTTATTAATTCTTAAACAATAGGCATTACAACTAAAAATAAAATAAATTTTCTCATAAAAAACTCCTGATAATTTAATACCAGAAGAAGTTGACGTAAATAAAAGTAGTGACGTAATGATATTAGTAGATGATTAGATGGACACTAATCATTGTCCATATATATTATATAAAATAGGACAACTATTATCAATTTAATGAAAACTTTATTATAGATGTAGAAATTATTATTGATTAAAATTAAAAAATGATAAAAAAGTGATTAATTTAACCTGCAAAATACAAAAAGACTTTAAATCTGTAAAAAATGACCAATCCCTTAGCTTTTTTTTTTTTATTATATAAGTATTTTCTATTGATATTTTATTTTAAATTAAATTTTTCCATTAATCTTTAATTTTAAATTAAATTAATTTAAATTTCTTTAATTACTTTAAATCCTAGACTTAAATACTTTAATATATATATATTTTTGAAAATAACAGTAATGCATTACATATACGCCTTTCAAAGAGAGGGTAAGGTTTCACAGATACATTATTATGTAAAACAAACCTCCCCATATATGCTTGCCAGACTTTATTGTCAAGGCGTCAATAGGCTCATTATACGGTAGAATATCCTCAATATTTAATGCCTTTAACAAGTGTTCTGAGCTCTCAACTTGGTCCCATTCTTCTCTTGATACAGATTGCCATTCATCACTGCCATACCGGTTTATTAAAATATTCATGTCACGATCAACAGCAAATACTTTTCCAGTTTTGTTTAAGTAAGAAATGATACTCATGACATTAGAAGGCATATCTAAATAAAAAAACTAATACAACAAATTTGATGTTAAATAAAGTGTAATGTAAAATAAATAAATATAATGTTAAATATAATGTTAAATATAAATTATAAATGTTAAAAAATAAATAAACTACAACACAAAAAATGTTAGAAAATTTTACTTAAAACAACTTTATAGTCACCTTTCCAATTTTTTCCATCTAGTGTTTTCCGACAACATGGACTCAATCTTCAAAAAGAAATAAAAACTTGAAATAAAAATTAAAAAAATGTATATATATTAAAATATATTTGTATTCAACACACTTGTGGCCTTAATACATTACAGCCCAATCAAAATAGCGTTCAAAATAAATCAGCCTTAAAAAAAATAGCCAAATCAACTCTATCTAAATTTGTTGTAAATAACTTTAATAATATTAAATAAAGGCAGCGTAATAACTAGGGGTGTCCCGGATAAGTTATCTGGCCGGATATCCGCTTCGGATAGGATATCAAATTTATCCGGTTTTTGATATACAACTAAAGTAACTAAAGTGCTAACTCTTTTAGCAGTGGAAACTTCTCTTCGTGTTTCCATTAATTTAAAACGTCATTATTTTTATATATTTTATTATTTTATTTTATATTTTTTTCTAGTGATCAAAGAAAACATCAACTTATTGCTTTTACTTGCTTTGACTTTTTCAAAGTTCAATACATTTTGAACTTTTTTTTGCAGCTGAAAAAGAGTCAATATTAATTTTTTTTTTCCTTTTTATACAAGTTAAATAATTTTTTTTTGGTGAATATATTTTAAAATTCGGCCAGATAATTTTTAAATATCTGGGTATTCGATATCCGGTCAAATAATTAAAAAATGTGTCCGGGACACCCCTATTTATAACATTATTACTTAAAAACCAATAAATAACATTATTGTTACAGTAAATACTAAACTTTATAAAAAATGGTACAGCAGAATGTATAAATGATTTTTGTAAATTCATGCACTCATTGAATGTACTTACAAAGTGCATACTATAGTGCATAACATTGTGCTATAGTGCATAACTAAGTATAGTGCATAACTAAGTATTTGTACTATAGTGCATAACTAAGTGCATAACATTGAATAAGTGCTTTGGGTTAGACAGGCAGTCTATAAATTTATAAAGTTATAAAATAAAAGTTAAAGTATTGCAGTAGTGGTGTAGTGGTAGAGCGCTCAAATCATAAGCAAGAAGTTCTGAGTTTGATCCCCACCATGTACTTGATAGTACCACGCTCAACTTGTTTCTCTGCGCAGTGGCCTTGCTCATCAAGGTTTAATTTTTGGAGTTATAGAGTTGAAAGAGGGTTGTAACCACAACTAAAGTAAGCTCATTGACTGAGTGGCCTTCATGGCCTTGGGGGTGTGAATTGAAACATATATATGTAAAAAATTATATCAAGCTAACTATTATAGTCATACTATTAGGGTGGTCCTTATTTTGACAAGTGTCAAAAACTTAATAGAAACTCTTTGCTGAAAAATGGCCTTTCTACATATCCTTCTGGATACAGACTTGTATGGAAACTTTTATTAACTCTTATTGGTTTCTTGTTGTCGACCCTCAATGTACTTTATGGTTTTCATCTTTTTATGCAGCTGCTTTTTCTAATTGTTTTTTCATCTTTTATGAGAATTTTTTATGAGAACATCATTTGTTAGAAAACCAAAACTTAACAGAAACTAGTCTAACTTGGTTCTTTTATAGTAAAAAATCATGAGTGTGAAAACTTTTTGATTTAATTTACGTTTAAAGGTTGCTCATAAAACATGAAGTACTCTGTTTACTGTTTTATAATGATTATACAATAAGGCAAACTATATTGTTTCTAGAATGTTAGCCAAGCACTTGTTCACACAGTTTTCTCTCTGTGGATGTTTAGATAGCTCTTTATTTCTGACTTACCTTATCTTTTGTATTACTTGACACAAAAACATTTCTCTTCATGCCATCTGATACTTTTTGGTCCAAGAAAGCCAAGGCTACTAAATCCTCAGAAAGGATGACCACAGACTAGAAAATTTGTTTAATGCAATTGTTATAATTCACTCATTCAAAAAACCATGTAGCATTATCAGAAGTTTCAAATCATTTCTTGGTACAGATTCAGGAAATGATACCTCCAACCACGACAAGAAGCTAATCTCTTATAGTAAATACCACATTGCAGAGATATTAAATGACTAGGGCCCTGGCTATGGCCTCAGCTAAAAATAAGACTTTTTGCAAACCTGGCCCCGCCAAGAATATAAGAATAGCAGAGGTTGATTGCCAGGGCTAGAAAAAAATTTATAAAAATTTATATATAATAATTTTATGCTTACATTTACTATTTATTAAATACTAGCATATAATTATATATTTTTAAACTCTAAAAAATCCTACAAAATTGCAAGCAACCACTATTAAACGACTTTAAAATAGAGAATAAGTTACAATACTAGGAAATGGTCAACTGAAGACTTAAAAAGTTGTAGGTTGGATAAAAAAAAAACAACATAAAGATGAGTAAGAGTTTTAAGGTTTTCTTAATATTCAAGGAAAAAAACTGGATTAATATTAGTTTTTATAGCATGAAGGGACAGATAAAGTAAAAGGATGCAACTTGTTAAATAAAAAGCCAAGCAAGAATGAGTTTTAGTTTATCGTAATAGAGATGATAGCTCGTTTAAACATTGACCGTGATAATATTTGTAGAAAAAAGAAAGAAATGCAACCTTACAACAATGGGAGAGGCTCAAGTTTGTAAATAAAGTAGGTCTAATTACATTTACAATTTTAGAATTTTTAGAATTCGTCTGAGAGTAAGAGGGTTATTATTCATCAATATAAAAATGCCAACATTATTGCATTAATTTTTTTGTAGTAAATAAATGAATTTTGTTGTCTAACAAAAATTGTGGATTTCAAGTCCATAATTTGAATCCACAAGCCACTTCAAGCCTTAAGCTGTTACATCAGATTAAAATTAGGTTGCTGCTTCTAAGCAATCAAAAAGTGAAGATTTTTTGTCAAGACAAGAATATAAAGTTGATTCATCAGCAAATAGAGCAACTTTAGATGTAAAATTTTCATGAAGATCAAATATTGTAGATAAGAAACAATACAGGAGCAAAGATAAAATCTTGAAATAAAGTTACTTGAAATAAAGAAGAGTGCAGGCCTTCAAAATTAACTTTATTACTGAAGTTAATTTAATATATATTTAATATAATCTAATAACCTCAAAACCTTTACATAAAGAAACTTATAACATGGATAGTTAGAGAGGTCAAAGTGTTTTTTAGAGTTTTCAAAAATTAGAACCACTTATTTAGCACTTTTTAAAAATTTAGCAAAAATTGAAGAGAGTTCTGGAGAACACTTTTTTAAAACTACGATGGAAATCTTTACTGGAGCACAAACTGTAGAAGTGTTTAATTGAGAATCAACTTTAGCATTGGAAGCCATAGTGATAATAGTGGTAAGTGTTTAACAGTGGGTTGATTTGTTTAACTAGCAGGAAAAGCATGGCATTAAAAGCATTACATTCAAGAAAAGCATGGATGGAAAGACCATTACATTCAAGAATCAAATTAAAGTAAGATTTCTTTGCAAATAACTCTGCTTTATACTAGGGAGAAGTTAGACTTACTTTAGTTAGACTTAATTTAGTTAGACTTACTTTAGTTAATGACGGTTTAGGACTAATCAAAAGTCTCTCGAACCTAACATAAAAGCTCTTAAGAGTTGTTTTTGTAAGAAAGATGAAAAAAATGATTAATATCTAATAAAGCAACTGCTTAAAATGAGGCTTGACTTAAAATCAAGGAGAAGGAATAAAAGCTTCCAAAAATTTATTTCGGAAAGAATAAAAGATAGAACCAGATGGGCATTACACATACATATTATAGATATAAACACATATGTTTGCTATTTATTCAGATGCTGACATACAATATCCTTTCATATTTATATAAACTTTAGTATTTATATGGTTTAGTATTTGCCAAAAAAGATCATACGATGATGATAACCATGATGAGGATGATCATGATGATGATGGTAATGATGATTATGATGATCATGTTTATTATGATAATGTTTATATATGCATATATATATACAAAATATAACATAATTCTAAAATAAAAAAAAATACTTTGAGATGTATAAATGTTTATGCAGCCACGATCACAAACCAGGCCCCAGCCCTAGCCATATCTTATCAAACCTAGTCCTGTTCACTCACTATGCAGAGAGCACCTGCTGTTTTTTTCTTGACACTTTAAAGTGGCTAGGAAACATCCAGGCTTTATACTTTTAGCAACCCATCTTGCTCTATGCATAGCTCTTAGGGTCTTAAAATGAACTCCTCTTGAAGAAACTTTATTAAGGCAACTTATTGAAATCTTCAGCTGTTTTTAATAATCACTTGCATCAGCTTGCCATCCAAATAAACAAACAAGGAAACATCTGCTTTAAAATGTTTTTGGATTCAGGCAGGCATTAAAAATTTTGCTTCAGCAATTCCAAACCAAGGAATCACTCACTCTTTTCCATGGTTTACCTTTCATTGAGCTGCTGCAATTTCCAATTACTTCCATTGCTCGATTGAGCTGCTGCAATTTCCAATTACTTTCATAAAATCATTACTTCCATACCGCCAAAACAATTCTCCAGAAAACAGACATATGTTTACTATTGCTAAAAACCATTGTTAAAAAGTTTCTAGCAATACAATATTGTCAAATATTAGGCTCTTAAGACTTCTAGAGAATCTTTAACATTGCCAACCTTTAACATAATAAGGACAAATATGTTATTTCTCCTCTATTGTATTTGTTCAGATTTTGTTATCTCACCTAAAGACAAAGCTGAGTTTTTTGCTAAGAACTTTTCATCAATCTCATCTCTTGATTCTACTAATCATATCCTACCTGATATAGCCGACAAAAAGGTTGGTCCATTGTTTAGATCCAAAGAAAAACACCTTCAAAACAAAATAGTTTATATAGCTTGCATCATTACTTGCTTGCATAATTTCCATGATATTATGATCAAAGAAGTATGGATTTATTACTTGGAAAAGATTTTTCATTATCCAAGAAATTGAAAACCAAGTTTAATGACATTGAAAAGATAAGTAGAAGAGCTTTTGCTCCACTTAAAGTTCACGACTAATAACTAAAAATGAAGAACAATGATGTGTTTGATT